ATGCCTGGTAACTGACTATTGTTGACAGAAACAAAAGCATTTTGTTCACAAATGAACTGATTCACACGAGAGGAATTTATTGAGTTTAGTGAATTAGGGCAATTTGATTTGCGGTTAAAGGTTCCTCAATGTTGTGGAGAATCTGGACAAGTGCCGCTGGAGTCAAAAGTAGGTATTTAAACAGGTGTATGGGGATTAATGCAGTTGTCTTCTTGCGTTTACACTCTGGCAGCTTGGCTCAGTTGGCAGCACTCTTCCCTCGAACCATAGACATTTATAACACAGAAGAATGCCATTCGGCCCATCATGTCTTTGGCAGTTCCAACGGCAATCCTTTCAGCACCAGTCACCTGCACTTTACCCCGTGCTCTGTAGCTGGTTCTTTGAGATGTTTGTCTAGTGCCGTCTTGAAGGCCAAAAGACCTCGGGATAAAAAGGTTTGTGGAGAAAAAGGTTGTGGAGTACTTTAAAAAGATTGCGGAGTAATTACGAAGGGAATTAGATATGCACAGGTGGAAGATATTAGATGGGAAGGGGGAAAGAGCAGGGAATTGGGATTAGGATAGATGGCTTTATTGCTGGAGCAAACACTCCTAACATATGATAGATTTCTACGGTTTCTGTGGGTTTACACCAATTGAGACTTGATTACCCCAATAAAATTGGCAAATAAAATTGCCAATAATACTCAATGTTCAAGAAAAGCAAAAGTCACAAACTACGCAATGTTGCGTTGTGATTTGCCTACAAATAAAATAAACTCCTGACGACTGGACCCTGGCTTAACTTGTCATCAAGCATATCTCGGAGGCATTTATTGGTGTATTTATACAGACGCCTATTATACATATGAAACTCGCCACTCTGGATCACCACTCATCACTGAATCCTTTTCATCATCTATCAATTACTTGTGAGCCTTCTTTGAGACTTTATAAATAGTTGTTTTATTTATACCCTTGGCTTCAGATAAAACAGCATCTGATAAGGGAGCATTTCTGTTAAACTAACGGAAAATTGGAAATCCAGAACAAAGTATCTCCCTGCATTATTACATTCAATTATATTAACTGCTCAGGAGTGAATTAGAGCTTAAAATCAGGGCAATTATCCAATGTTAGTCGTTTAACCTATTCAGCGTAGCCGGTAGCTTGTGGACTCAGTGCTTGTTGGTGTCTGGAGTTTGACTTTGTACTGTATTATGCTATTCAAAACCTTAATTACTTCTGTTGACCAAAACAGGTAGAAATAAGCAGATCTTCCTTTATTATTATTAATAATAATAATCCTCGCATTTAACAAAGCGCCTTAGCACGTTGCCAAAACATTTGAAGGTGCCTCACGGGATGTACTGTACAGTGTAGTGACTGTTTCGTAGGAAAAACACAACATAATGTGGTGACAGTTCCTGACAACATTGACAAAAGGCTCGGATTATCCAATGTGCTGTAGGAGACGGTGTAATCTTAAATGAACTTGGCTTTAGGGGAGAATGTAACAGGTTACTTTCAAATCTACAGTATTAAAAGCGGAGGGGGAAGCGAGAGAGGGAGAGAAAGGACTTTTTATATATTTTTAGAATTACTCTCCTTGGGAGTCAATCCTTTTTAAACTGAGGTCGCCGCCTGCCTGCGGGTTAAAGATCCCCGTGGGACTATTCGAAAAGATTCCCGATTTCCGAGCCAATAACCCCCGGAATAAAATCAGCCGTGTGCAATTGGCTGCCGCGTTTCGTCAACAAAATACGCGGTCAATCCACTTCACGGTGTTTCAATCCCGGGAAGCGCCTTGAGACGATGTGTTAAGGTGCTGCATCAAACGTTAGGATTATCACCATTAATATTTTGCCAATTGCCCTAACCTCCCTCTGCCCGTTTGTCTTTGCTCGCTCTGCCTTCAAATCCCACCTTAAAACCTACCCCTCCGACCATGCTCACCTCTGGCCTGCTCACCGTTATGGTGAAGGTCACAGAATAGGCCGATAGTTTAATTGCGTTAATGTTAAATCAGGATGTTTTAGGATGTGATGCCCAAACCCCGGTGCTCAGAACGCCTGCACTACCCCATCCAAAGCGATTGAACGGGTGGCGCTGTTGTCCAGCAAATAGCAAAACCACCGGACAGACACAGTTAGCAATCTTCAAAACTAAGCAGAAATACATTGATCAGATAATTACACCCCCCCCACTCACCAACAACCCCCCCCCCCCCCTCCCGCCCCACTCGCGCGCGCACACAGACACCTCCTCTAGTAAATAAACCGTGGTATTTTTCTCCGTAAATGATTGTGTTCTCGCAAGCGTTCAGAAGATCCACCTTTACAAAGCGACGCTGATCATTTGGAGATGATAAGTGATGGGAGTCCATTGCTTAAGTCAGAGGCAAAAATGTACTCTTATTCTTGCTAACACTTCCGTGAGATACCTTAATGCTGTACGAACAGATGGACCAACAGATACTTAGCAGTCAGTGGCTGAGGGCACTGTGTGTGTGTACTGGACCAATGCGGCCCCTATATTTGCCCTTAAAGCTGTAATGTCTCTGTGAGCATCAATGGTTTGTACTGTACGGTATTTAGCGGTCTATGTTGGTGCTAATGTATCTGAAAAATCAGACCAGGTTTAGATTGTCCAAGCTGTGCGCTCCGTCCAGTGTGTTTGATTTTTTTTGTGGGGGGGAGGGGGCGGTCATTATTGGAAGAAAAATAATCAGGTCAGGGAAACTGGTGTCATGGAATGATCTCAAGACACAGATGCTGGGATATATTTTACCATATAGACAAGAGGTTTAGACTATCAGACGCAGCGTGTTATGTCTTTCCTCTGTTTCGAAGCAGAACACACACACACACACACAGACTGTGACAGACACACACACACTGACTGACAGACACACACATTCTGACAGACACACACTGACTGATAGACATACACACAAACACTGACTGTGACAGACAGACACTGTGACAGACGCACACACACACACACACACTGTAACAGACACACACTGACTGATAGACACACACACACACACACTGACTGATAGACACACACACACACTGACTGTGACAGACACACTATAAGACACACACACAGACTGTGACACACACACACACACACTGACTGATAGACACACACACTGTAACAGACACACACACTGACTGATAGACACACACAACCCACCGTGTGCACAACACCACTGCATCAAACATCGCATACTCAAGACTGCAGTTCTGGTTTCGATAACCAACTGAGTTATAACGAATAGGCGTCACCAGATCATTGCAATCAGCATCGCACATCAACGTCTTGAATGTGAGAGAGAGAGAGAGAAAATCACTGCTGGGAGTAAAGCAATGTTATAACTAACTCAATGCAACGTGGTAGAATCAAACAGAGAGAGAGAGAGAGGGAGAGAATTCCTCTTATAATAATAATAATAATAATCCTTGCATTTGATATAGCGATAACCTTTCTCTAATACCAACATTACAATAAAGAGACGCACCAACTGACTGACTGATGGATATCAGGAGAGCAAAATAAAAGAGCAAAAGGAAGATTTATTTATTCATTCATTCGGTTAGTCAGTTATTTTTTTTATTTAATTGAACCCTCGCCGAAGCCAGATTAGTTTGCAATTGACATGCAATAGTTGGCATTTTTTTTAAAAACATTAAACTTTTTGTTTTATTTGCACAAGACATTTCCTCGTCTTTATATATATATTTATTTGCATTTTTTGCAGGGGTGATTTTCTGATTAAAACCACTCTCCCTAGTTCTCATGGGGAGGGCTTGTGTGTATGTGACTGTTAAAGCTAAAAGCATTGCTGATCCTTTCTGTCTCCCCCCTCCACCCCACACACACATTCCCCACTCCCCATCTTTGTCAATCACACCCCCCTTACCCCCAGCCCCTCTCTCTCTGCAGGGGTGGGGGACATCAGGCTAGAGAGGGGAGAGAGGAGATGAGGGTGGGGGAGAGAAGGGGGAATGAAGAGAGAGAGAGAAGAGGGGGGGGAGAGGAGATGAGGGTGGGGGAGAGAAGGGGGAATGAAGAGAGAGGGAGAGAGAGAGAAGAGGGGGGGAGAGGAGATGAGGGTGGGGGAGAGAAGAGGGAATGAAGAGAGAGAGAAGAGGGGGGGAGAGGAGATGAGGGTGGGGGAGAGAAGGGGGAATGAAGAGAGAGAGAAGAGGAGAGGGGGGAGAGAGGAGATGAGGGGGGTGGGAGGTAGGGGAAAGGGGGAACCTGGCGAGAGGGGGACACTAGAGGGGAGGGAGAGAGGAAAGGGGATGGGGGGTGGGGAGAGAGAGAGAGAGAGAGAGGGTGGGGGACAGAAGGGGGAGAAAAGAGAGAGAGAGAGAGAGAGAAGAGAGGGTGGGTGGGGTGGGGGGGTAAGAGAGAGAAAGAAAGAGAGAGAGAAGGGGAGTGAAAGAGGGAAGGGAGGAGAAAGGGGGAAGAGAGTGAGAGAGAGAGAGAGAGAGAGAAAGAGAGGGATCTGATTCTAAGTGGTTGGAACGTCACATTAAAATGAAAAAAGGTCCAATAAGCATTTCTCTAGGAGGTGCCAGGGGGAGATTTGCACCAGTGTTTGCACATGACAGAATATATAAAAAGCCCCAGTTTCACATCCCAGACACAAGCCAACAGCCAGGTATCGTGTGTTAAAAAGCCAGCAATGGGCAGTGTGGATCTTACATTGCAGAGTCCCACACATCACTGAGACAGAGACAGAGAGAGTGAGTGAGTGAGTGAGTGAGAGAGAAAGAGAGAAAGAAAAAGGAAAGAAAGAGATAGGAAGAGGGGAAAAAAAAGGGGGTTTAAAAAAAAACATTTCTGGATTTACCTTTTTTTTTGAATGCATCAGAGAAACTTTTTTTTTGAATTGTTCATTATTATTCATCCTTATCATCATCATTATTATTAGCATTGTTAGTTATAATTAATATTATTATTATATCATTATTATTATTATTATTATTATTCTAACCCATCCATCCATCCAATCCATCCATCCATTCATTCATTAATTCCGACACATCGACCAGCAAATGATGGCAAGGGTCAACTCCATCCTCCTGCTGATGGATGCTCTTCTTCTGCTGGTCCTGGGCAAGGCTGGAGTCAGTGTGGAGACACCCACCCACCACACACAGGGGGAGAGCGAGGTGGTCAACCCAGTCCGCCTGGACGTGGAGCCTGGAGGAGCGAGGAGACACTTCCTCCAAAGGAGCCTGGAAGATGTCCACCAGGACCAGAGGATGCTGTTCAAAGTCGGGGCTTTCAGCCAGGAGTTTTACTTGGATTTGGTGCCCGATTCGAGCTTCCTGGGGTCGGCTTTCACCCTGCAATCCCTGTCCCTCTTCCCCCAACCCGCCTGGGGCAACAGCATCAGTCACTGCTTCTACTCGGGCTCGGTCAACCGAGATCCTTCTTCCTACGCCGCTCTCAGCCTGTGCGATGGGATGCAGGGGGCATTCGGTGTGAACGGCTCCGAGTATCTCATCCAACCTTTGGCAAAGCCACCCGGAGTGGGAGAACCAAGCTCAGCCCACGTTATACACCGCAGAAGCGCCTCTGAGCCAATGCCACCACCAGCATCAGCATCAGTCAACATCACCTCCAGGTGTGGGGTGAGTGGGACACACGTCAACCTGGCAGCTCTGGAAAAATTTAAAGGTGATCTCAAGCACTTTTTTGTTGTTGGTTTGTTTGTTTATTTCTAGTGGCTTTTTTTTGTATTTGCGTGCGCCTTAGAACGCTCCTTACATTTGATAATGATTTGCATTTACATATTGTAATGATATAATAATAATAATAATAATTCTTGCATTTAGTATAATGCCTTATCCCTTGTTCTGAACGTCTCAAAGCGCTTCGCGGGATATACTGTCAAGTGGATGATCGACTGTGTATTTTGTGGGCGAAACGCGGCAGCCAATTGCACACAGCAGCGACCCCACAAACAGCCGTGGATCGAGTGACTGAATTATTCTTATTTATATTAGGTCTAGCGCCATAATCCTCGCAGTTGATATTTGACATAGCCGTTCCGTGTCACGTTGTCGAGACGTCTCTGGCCAAAACTCTTTCACCGAATATACTGTGAAGTGTGTATCTGGTGGGCAAAATGATAACTTCGCAGCGCAACACAAAAATATACAGATCAACTCTAATTTAGATTCAGTGTGGGGCGGAGAGTGGGTGGGTGGCTTCAAAGCAACGGATTAAAAATTGCCACGGAAACATACAATAATAACATGTCGGTTTTGTTATTTGCAGCAATTGTTAGGGTGCGTAATGATGTCCTTTTTTTTAAACCATAAAAAAAAACAAAGAAAAGCTGCAGCTGTAATCCCCAGCTCTTGCAGTCGTTTAGATCAATTTATATTGATTTTTTAAAAAACAAATCACTCCCCCTCCTTTTATTGTCGTCAGAACTCAGCTGATTCTGGTCTCCGGTCTGTCAGTCGCTGCACACTGAGTGGGTTGAGGTGAGAAATGACAGATCAGGAAGTGTGTGGTCTCTATGAACCAACTAACTCTGAACATCTGCGCATTCAGCTGTTTTTTGTTGCTTGGAAAAAAAATCTTTCTTTAATAATAATAATAATAATCCTCGCATTTGATATAGCGCTTTTCACGTCGGGAGGACGTCCCAAAGCACTTTACCGAATATACTGTAAAGTGAATTGACTGTATATTTGTGGGCGAACGCGGCAGCCAATTGGGCACAGCAATGTCCCACAAACAGTCGTAGAATGAAAATGACCAATTTATTATTGTTTTGTTTTTTGGAGGGATTATTATTAGGTGTGTGGAGTAAGGAAACTTGCCCGAGGTTTCCCTGCCTGGAATTGAACTCAGGTCTCTCACTTGCAAAGCGAGTGCTCCAACTACTGAGCTACAGGACTCTTTGAGGGGCGGGAGGGTGGGCGGGGGAATTAATCCAGTTGTGTCATCCGTGCGTCTGTGTGCCCAAAAAACTGACAGCGGGTTGGATAAAACTTCATTCCGTGCGATAATAAAATAAATCACATCGACTTTCTCGCTCGCAAAAATACTTTGAAATGCTTTCAATACTGTGGCAAGTTTCAGACAAGTTCCGCTTCTCCAGCTGCTGCTGACTTATACTTACTGCAATTCGTCCTTTTTTTTTAATATACATAAAAAAAAGAGGAAAACAAGCGACATAAGGCTCTGTCATTCCTTTTCTTCGTCCCTTTTGCTCACAACGCTGGTTATACTGTAGAGCCTTCTAACCTGAGTGCCTTCGCTTGGCAGAGCTGTGTTGCTGCTCAGACTGGATCTGTCAGACTGTGGAGCTCATGCCTTTGAGCTCACACTGCATACTGTACAAGGGTTCAGCCCTCTCCACTACACGTGATCAAACTGGTCAGAAAGTGCGCTCGCGCTCGCTCTCTCTCTCTCTCTCTCTAACATCTGTTTCCAGCTGCTTCAGATTTGCAGCCGTGAGCTTCGCTGATGGTCTCAAGATTATGCTGTCAATGGTTGATGTTCCTGTGAACCGGCTTTTAATGTCGTTCCCCCCGCAGCCAGCCACCAGGCAGAACAACTGCAATCAGTGGGCTAGCTGAGCCGTTAACCCTGCAATTTGTTTCTAAAAATGCTGACACAACGCAGACCCCCCCCCCACCCCCCCCATCTCCATGCTTAAGAGACTGAGGATTCCTCCTATGTGTGGTTTCGGTTTGTCCGCTGTGGAGCGTGAGCTCTCTCTCTCTCTCTCTCTCTCCGCAGAGGGAGGCATTCCTGCTTACCTAATACCAGGGGAGTTTAGAGGCAGGTTGACCAGAGCCAAGGCCGGCAGACCTCAGAGTGCGCCTGAGTTCATTCACCTGCTAGAACCACGCAGGGAACCGTTGTGAACACTAACAAGATTCCAGCTGCTTCTCCAGCCAGGTCCACTCCCTACCCATGAGGGCATTGGCCTCCAGTGTGACTGGACCAGCTGAAGATATTAACCCATCAGAGCCTGCATTAGCATTTCTGCGTGTAGATCCGCAATCGAATTGCAATCCTTTCAGTTATTTCAGACAAATATGCACTTGGAAGATAAGGTCCACGTGGGAGATTCAGGCTCACAGGCCAGGCTTGACAATCCGGTGCAGTGCAGGAAAGTGCTGCATTGTTTGAGGTGTAGTCTTTCAAGTTGAGATGTCAAACCTGAGGTCCCGTCTGGTTGTTCTGCGGAGAAACTTGTTTGTCCTGGTCCTGGCCATCCCCAATCCCCCCCCCCCAAGATTGACCATTCGATCATTCAATTTATGGCTGTTTGAGGGGTTGTGCAGTCCTCAGTGGTTAGACCACTCGCCTCGCAAGCCAGAGACCTGGGTTCTATTCCAGGCAGGGCGAAATAAATGTTGGTTAAGTTTCCTTACTCCACACGCCTCTGTTTACCGAACAGTAAGTAGGAACCCAGTTGTTAGTCGATTGTCGGATCGCTTTTCCGGGACTGTTTGTGGGACGCTGCTGTTGAAAATTGGCTGCTGCGATTCTGCCACAAATATACAGTCAATTCACTTTACAGTCTATTCTGTGAAGCTCTTTGAGACGTCTAGAAGACGTGAAAAGAGCTACATCAAATGCAAGGATTATTATTATTATTTACCAGTGCAAATAGCTGCCACATTTACGTAAAAAGCAGTCACTACACTTGACGTTTTAACAATACACTATAAAAATGCAAATTCTTTCTTTAGAGAGATCGTAAATTCCCTGTAATGAACTGCTTAGGTGTATTTCGCAATACAAATGATACTTACGTAGTGCCTTTCACGTTGGTTGGACGTCTCAGCTCAAAGCTTGACAATGATGGCCAGGACACAGAGCCGGGGGGGGAAAGGGTGGGGGTGGGGGGGGGGGCGTTGAAGAGGTTGGGGGAAGGGGAAACATGACTGATATGTGGTCAATAAGGTATGTTTTGTAGGCGAACAAGGTAATTTGTGGCATAAGCAGCCCCACGTCCCTTGCCTATTCAACTGGATCTTGGCAGGAGTTCACAATAACACGTGTGAGGTTATTGACCCAATTCTATCTGATCAGTTGCTGCTTCAAGATCTGCTGGAGATTTGTGTGTGTTGTATAGGAGGTTCAGTCAGATCCACTTGATTGAAATGCAGCACTGGATCACAGTTGCAATAATTTCGTATCTTAATATATTGTGCAATAGACATTGGAAATGCTTTCTACGCTGGAGAAGTAGGCCAATTAATCAAAACTGTCTCCCATAACAGTTCAGAATAATGTATACCGAAAGCAATAAGCAGGACGTCTTTCAATTGGGAGGAAATAGCTGCGTTAAAATTTCATGGGCAGTTTTTTATCTTTCATCTGCATTACTCCTGGGGCTGGCGGTTTTATTGTGTATTGAGGTTCATGCGACCACTTCAGCCGTTTAGCTCTCAAGCCATTTATCTCCTGACATAATAAATGTCCTTCTCTTCTAAGGACCAGCTGGAAGCCCAACCCTCAAAGTTAGGAAGCCAGGGTTTGAATCCTTATATTTATAGCCAGTCTTCCCAAAGAGAGAGAAAGATTGCCAATTTCAGGTATTTGATCTCGGTCAGAAAGTCACCAGGTTAGGGATCGCACCTTCTTGTTTAGGCTGATTCTTTGAGATATCCAAGGGATGGTGTTGCAATAGAAGCAGAGTCTCTGGGTATAGAATCATTAGATCTCATGCCATGGGTTTTGCCCACAAAATATACAGTCAATTCACTGTACAGTATATTCTCTGAAGCGCTTTGAGACGTCTCGAAGACGTGATAAGGCGCTACATCAAATGCAAGAATTATTATTATTATTATTATGAGCATCTACGAGTGGGGAAATGTCAGATTTGCTCAGTTAGTTGCACACTTGCCTCTGAGTCGGAAGGTTGTGAGTTCAAGCCGCACGCTAGAACTTTGAGCTCATAGTCTAGGCCGATGCTCCAGTGTAGTGCAGGGGGGGGGGAGTGCTGACAAGTGCCCACGTGAAGGGCGCTATATAAATCCAAGTTGTTATTGTTGGCTGCTAAAGATTCCCATGGCACTTCTTTTGAGAAGAGAAGAAAGTTTCTCCTGGTGTCCAGGCCAACAATCCCCCAAATAAGATTGGTCACTCACTTCATGATTGATTGTGAGACGTTGCTGTGTGCAAATTAGCTGCCGTGTTCATCTCCAAAATACCATCATTACATCCTACTGAGACATAAGGATAATAATCCTTACCATTGATACAGCGCCTCAATACGTCTTCGAGACGTCTGAAAGCGCATCACAGAATACACTGTAAAGTGAATTGACTGTGTATTTTGTGGGCAAAACCAAAGTCATCTTCTCAATGTTAAAGGTGTTATCAAATACAAGGATTATCATTATTAATATTATGGAGGACTATCTTCTTTGGAGGGAGATCAGTGGAATCCTCTTGGAGCTGAACTGGCTCCAAGGTGACAAGTTTGGTAATGGAATATCAGAGTAGAGCCAAAGCCCTAATGGGTAGGATGGTCCTAGCTGGATAAGCAATGGGAAAGCTTGCCAGACAAGTGCTTTCAATTGGCAAGCTATGTAGATTTTGCTGGTTCGATTCCAGCACAATACACGCTCTGGGGAGTCCCCAAGCCTTGCCTCTTGCTAACCTGCGCCTGGTAGTCTCTGGAATTAGGTAAGCAGGATGCATCCCTCCAGAGAGAGAGAGAGCACGTTTCAGTCCAATAAATATCTCTGGAAGTTCCATGTATAGGTGGAATGCATGGAACTCTATTTGATTAGATTACAATTAATCATGGTGTTGGCTTTTCCAGATGCCTGGCTGACCAAAAATGATTATTATTGTTCCAAAAAGGTTTTATTATGCTATATATGTACTAATATATTTATTCCTGGCATTTTTTTCTTTTCCTCTCTCTCTCTCTCTCTCTCTCTCACTCTTGTCACGCACCATCCCTCTAATGAGAGGCTGGGCAACTCATGTTATTTGCTTCAAAAAGAAAGCCAGATAAATGTTTTCATTGTAAGCTATTTACACAAGAGCAGTGCTGGGAGGAGAGGTCAAGGCTCCAAACAAGCCTATTATTCCAACGTAGAGACCCTTGGAGACCAAAAATACTGAGAACTTGCTCAGTTTCTCCGTAGGAAAGATATTGTTGATACCCATTGATGCCGGACCCATGATGGTTCAGAGAAATAGGACAGAAAGAGAGAGAGAGGGGGAAGATTTTATTGAAAGAAATATCAAATCTAGACATTTTCTAGTCCCACAAAGCCTAATAAAGATCAGAACCATCAGAGCATCATCGTGCTCTCTCTTTAGTGAGTTTTGCTGACTTTAATCTTCAACGTTAATGAAGATCATGCAGATGAAAACGAAATAGGAGCAAATGGGAACCCTTGACCCCAGTGGAACATTTGCACCATTAACTCAGTGATTTATGGTTTGTGGATGTTGTATATTTGACCCCAATATTTTTGACTCCTCTATTTCTTTCTTTCTTTCTTTCTTTCTTTCTTTCTGCTTGCTTGGTTCCATCTGTGACTGAAAACAGTTATATCAATAATCAGGAGATTTATTTTTACCTCAATGCACCATTCATTCAGTTAACTTGAACACATTCTAGCATAGGACTGGAGCTTAAGAACATGAGAATTTGCTAGATGTTTGCATAAAAGAAGACAGCGAAGGGAAAGGAGCTGGCAAAGGAAAGGTTATTTTTGGACACAAACCAGTAAATGCTGATGGTGATTACCAGAATCTGAGAGATTTAAGTCCAAGCTGCCACCAACAATCTTGTGTGAAATTTGCCCTGTTATATCTGCTTTTTTCTGGACCACTTTGTGGTGATGGACAGGTCTATTACAGGAGAAGGCCAACTGAAGGTTGACTCTATAGTCAATTGACAGCTGCTGCAAAGATGTCCCCTTTTGGACAATCATTTCCTCGGAGCTTGAACCCACAACCTTTTGACTCAGAGGAGAGAGTGCTACCGCTTGAGCCAGACTGATACCTGATGATGATAATAATAATAATCCTTACATTTGATATAGCGCCTTATCATGCCTTGGAGACGTCTCAAAGCACTGCACAGAATATGCTGTGAAGTGAATTGACTGTATATTTCGTGAGCGAAACGCGGCAGCCAGTTGCAGGCGAGTCAGGCATCTGCGTCAGCCGAAATGTCCGTCCTGTATTTTGCATTAAACGCTAGGCCGCTTGCTAACGATTTCATTTTCTTTTCTTCAAGCCTCCCATTCCATGGAACGTCCGTCCAAAGGGGAGAACGTGGGTAGAAAGAGCAGCCGATCCAAGCGGTTTGCTTCGATTCCCCGCTTTGTGGAAACCCTACTGGTGGCCGATGAATCTATGGCCAAGTTTCACGGCGATGATCTCAAACACTACGTCCTGATGTTAATGGCGGTGGCGGCTAGGCTCTACAAGCACCCCAGCATATTGAACCCCATCAGTATTGTGGTGGTGAAGTTTATAGTCATTAATCTCGAAGACAAGGGGCCCAAAATCTCAACCAACGCAGCCCTAACACTGAGAAACTTCTGTGCCTGGCAGAAAAAGTTCAACAAGGCCAGCGATAAGAATCCCGAGTACTTTGACACGGCAATCCTTTTTACAAAACAGGTACCTTCATTTATCCCCTTTCTATTGTGATGGATGACAGTGTCTGTAATCATTAAGAACACTGTTAAAGTCTTATCGGTGTTAAATTCCTCGTCTGTGTTTAGACCTTTCTCATGAGTAGGCAATGAGTCTCCTCTGTAAAGCACGTCTGTGCAGTCAGTCAGTTCTAAACGTAAGTTACAATAATGTTATTTCTCCTCCCATGTCCTATACTTTGGACTGAATTTCCACAAGGCAAGAGTCCTAATTCTTACACTACATCAAGAACTTGGCTGCAACTCAGTTGCACACCACACACAACCTTTTTCTTCTGCAATGCTTCCAGTTCCCACTGAAACAGAGAGACCTTGAAAGAATTTGCGAAGTGTTCTGCCCTATGGAGTTGGATCGATGTGGTTTCAAAGATAACTCGGCGCCAAAATGTCTGCCATAGTTTAGTTTCCAAACTAATCATTTATATTTAACGAGTGTAATTTTAAGGCGATAGTGGTGCAGAGAGCAATGAAACTGCAGAATGCTACAGCACAATGCCAATAATAATAATACATAATAATCCTTGCATTTGATATAGCGCCTTATCACGTCTTCGAGACATCTCAAAGGGCTCCCATTAAAATACAAATTACATTTGTGTAGTGCCTTTCTTGTCGGGAGAAGGTCCCAAGGCACTGGATTGTCAGTGATTTGGAGTATGCTACAAAGTGAATTGCCTGTATATTTTGTGGGCGAAACGCAGCAGCCAATTATGCACAGCAAAGTCCCACAAACAGTCGTGGATTGAATGACCAAATTAATAATATTATTATTTATTTATTTTGGAAGGGATTATTACCCCCGGAAAAGTGATCCGCCAATCGACTAACAACCGAGTTCCTACTTACTGCTCTCTGCTAGGTAAACAGAGGCGTGTGGAGTCTGGAAACTTGCCCATGTCTAGGTAGATACGTGACTAGATTTATTTTTCAATGAAATGTACCTGGAGTCACAGTATCCATCAGGTGAAACCATTCCCCCAACTGCTTTTATGGATTCGATAAATGGAAAGAGAGGGCAGGTGGAAATGGACACTCACCTGCTTCTAATTTTTCTTTTCAAAATTTTTTTCCTTGCCTCGATCACGGTCGGAATATGTAGTGTCATTTTCTAAAAGCTGAAACCCCCCCCTTCCCTGTTGCTGGGACAAACTTTCTGCCCTACCTGATGGATACCTCCAGTGCTGGACCTAAGGCACCACTGACAGGCCACTTGGATCTTCCAGTGAATACACTCAAGTCGGAAGAAAGTACATTTACCGCCAGCATTACCCCATGCAGTACCGCCCAGTGGGAGGAAAGTCAGGGCCAGAGTATTGAGCAGTGACACAGTCTAAACTGACTCTTACAAAGGGGAGAATGGGAAGAAATTCCACCTGGATCTAGATATCCTCCACGCAGCAAAATATACGGTCGCTACACTTTTACAGTATATTCTGTGAAGCACTTTGAGATGTGACAAGGCGAGAATTATTACTATTTATCATTGTTGTTGATATTATTTCAGAGAATCCAGAGCATTGGCAAATTCTTCAATTACTGCCTTAATCTTGAAGTTCTTTTAAGAAACGACAGAAAAAAACCAACTTGAAAGTTCAGACCGAATCCAACGATTCGCCAAGTTCCGGACCCTCTGGACACAGGGGGTGATTGTGTGCATGATGTGTTCTTGTTTTTAAGGAATCGAGAGTTAACTTGCTTTTAAATTTAAATTCCTGAACACTGAACACTGAAAGCGCGAACTCTGAAAACTCTTGTCTGGTGTTTTAACTCAAGCAGCCTGTGTTCTTTGCTCTGTGACTCATTAACCGCACATTTTGCCTCAGGTTCACACAACACAGCCGGTCTGTCGGTGGTTTGGTCCGAATGCCACAATACACCCTGCCTGGACACGCACTGAATTAGATCTCCACCAGACAGGGCAGCAGTAAACAGTACTATCAGTGCAATGCAGCCAGTCAAAATGGTACTATGTATAATAAGAATCCTTGCCTTTGATATAGAGCCTTATCACGTCTTTGAGACGTCTCAAAGCGCCTCATAGAATATAACCGTAAAGTGAATTGACTGCATGCTCTGTGGGCGGAACGCGGCAGCCAATTGCGCCACAGCAGCGTCCCCACAAACAGTCGTGGATTGAGTGGCAAAATTATTATTATTTTCAAACCAATTTTTTTTCAAAGGATTATTACCTCGGGAAAAGCGATCTGCCAAGCGAGGAGCAGCTTCCTACTTACTGCTGGTAAACAGAGGCGTGTGAAGTAAGGAAACTTGCCCAACGTTTCGCCCTGCCGGGGAATCGAACCCAGGTTCTCTCGCTTGCGAGGCGAGTGCTCTGACCACTGAGCTACAGGACTCCATAGTACTGAATACTGTATGCAGTAAACTGAATGACAAAAGTCAGAACCCAAATCAGTTGAGTTCAATCCCCAGTTGTCATGTACATGTATGACGTCTGGGGATATGAACTCAAGTGATTTGGCAGCATAACTCAGCTTCCTGGTTTAGTTGCTTATTTCCGCCTTTACTGTTCTGACAAGATCAGTTCATGTAGAGCTCTGGGGGGAATCTGGCAAATCATAACAGATTTGGTGTGATCACAAACCATTCTGTTATGAACGGTGGCCTGTTTTTTCTTTCCTTCCCCGGTTATATTTTGTGTGGGTTTGGCCCACAAAATGCACAGTCAATTCGCTTTACAGTGTATTCTATGAAGCGCTTTGAGACGTCTCGAAGACCTGATAAGGCGCTGCATCAAATGCAAGGATTATTTATCATAAACTGCATTTTCGGCAGCCTCACACCGATTCAGAGATAAGTTGTAAGGGAGTGGGCAGATGTGTTATATGATAATTGTTAACTATCGAGAATTATCACAATGTCCATTGCAAATTCCCCAACGCCCTTTGTTTCATATTCTCATTGCACAAGATAGAAGTTCACTATAATTGGCGGAGCTTCTGTCAGGATTGCAGGTTTCTTTCTCACCCAGCAGTGTATCAAAAGCCAACTCGAGTCGAAACCCACCGCCACAGCTGCTCCAGCTGTAGAACTCTACCTTCATCGAATGTGGCGGAACACAGGCATTAGGAGTTTTTTGCTTGTCAAAATATTGGGCTCGGCTGGTTAGCTTATGTTCAGGTCTCAGCGTTGGTTAGAAGACAACACTGTAATTAGTGCGTTGCCTTGTTCATGCACACAAGCAACGTAACTTAACCCCACTGTAATCTCCCGCATAAACAGCGTTTGCAAAAATATTCCTGTGAGGAGCAAGGAGGCAAATGGTAATTTACCAGCATTCCAGAGCACAACATATACTGAAGTGACTAGGTTCAGAACATAAGAATTTGCAAGGCGAAAGAAGACTAAGGTCTATCTAGTTCGCCTTCCAACACCCTGGCAGTCGCTTGACATGTCGTGTCCCAAACTATACACTGTGAGTTGGCTATTTTTATTCGTGAAGCCAAGAAGTGACAGGGTTTGCAGTTGGGGTTTTATGATGCGCAGTTAGCTAATGCATTCCATGGACAGAATGAAAAGTTGTCCGCCGAATTGATTCATTTCTCTCACATTTTTTTGCAGGAACACTTTTCAGGCTTATAAACAAAACCGATTTGCGCTAAACTATTGATGAATACGGTGTCCCCTTAAAGTACCAGACCCTGGCCTTGTTTCAAATGATGGGTGAGCTGAGCAGTTAGTAAGCAACGACCGATGTACTTTGTTCATGGGAAAGTGTTCAGACCCCGGGGAGAGTGTTTGAGTAACCACAGTAGGCTGTGTACGTGCTTTCTGACCTCCAGAAGTCACTGGGGAATGGGGAACCTCTGTTATTTTAGCCCTGGTAAGGTGGACACTTCAAAGTGTTTTTGGATATCCTTGATGTGAATTTATTGCCGGGAGCTGGGATTAGCTCAAGAGTCTGGGAGATGCTGTGCAGAGGAAGCTTTTATCTGGGATGTATGTGGGACGGAAACCCAGCAGTGAAGCCAAGGTTTGGCAATAGTGGAGAGATACAGTATTTAGATAAGAGTTACGAAAGTTACTGTAGGTATTGTAAAAATATTGTGCATTGCAAACTGGCTGCCACTTTCACCTACCGAATACAGTGGCTGTGAAGCTTTTTGAGACGTCTCGACGAGGTGATAAGGCGCTATATCAACTGCAAGAAATCTTACAGCGTTTCAGTATTCGGTACATCACACCAATAAATTAAAAAGGTACACACTTTTTTAAATTAATTAACACAAGGACAGTGTTGCGAAGTGCCTCACACTTTATCTCATGGTATCACCTTGTGAAAACTGCACAGATAAGCTCAAGATCAATCTGCATTTGATGGTGATCTGTTCAATTTGAAACTTACCTTCGTGCGAGAGTCAATTCCCATTCTTACTTTTGTCTCCAGTTAAGTGTGAGAACAGTTGTTCTGCAGAGAATAAAATCTACACAGCGTCAAACGTGATTAGAAAAAGAGGTTGCACACATTTTATGATAATAGAGACCAGAAGCATTTGGGAATCCTTGAGGAATCTTTTTAAGATCCCAATTCAATAGGAGATAGGATTAAAGGGATCTGCCATGATTTGATAAACAGCCAGACCAGATCCAACAGGCTGAGTTGCTTCCCCTCGTTCCCATGTTCCTAAAATGGTTTTGGACTTCCTTCCTTAAGGCTCGGATGCCTTCTCAGTTACAGTCAGGGACATAAAACTTAATCCAGTTCAGGAAATTAGGAGCTGGAGGTTTGTAATCTGGTCGCCCCGATTGATCCGAATCAGCGCAATTAGAGCTACGTGATGGAATGTTTTTAGCTCTGAGTTCTTCACTGTGAATCACAGTTGATACAGGGTTTAATTACACCCTTTGAACTCCTAACTGCTCCTCCAGGAATCTGTGAGGGAGAGGGGGGGGGAATTGAGTTCCCACCTCTCTGCCTGGAAATCTCTGAGCCAGAACATCAAGTGA